TGCGCTGACTTTTAGTGATGTGTGTCTGTGTGTGTGTGTGTGTGTGTGTGGTGTGTGTGTGTGTGTGTGTGTGTGAATGTTTGTTATCTTTCTGCCTAATTGCTATTGTCTCTATTTCAAAGTTTTATTGTTATTTATTTGGATTATTGTTAATGTTATTACTATTATTATTATTATTATTATTGTTGTTGTTGTTGTTTGTTGTTGTTTACAATTTATTTTGGCGACTTTGGCGAAAATTTTTGTCGCCGAAAACACTGCGCAAAACACTATTTTCCTCTTATAATAATAATAATAATAATAACAACAACAACAACAACAACAATGATAATAATAATGATGATTATAGGATTAACCACCAGGCATCTTTGTAAACAAACATCAACAAAGTTTAATTGTCAAGTACATTTATACAATACATACGTACGCACATACATACATACAAACAAACAAACACACACACACACACACACACACACACGTATATATATATATATATATATATACACAAAACAGTTGTTAAACTTGAATCCATTCATCCAAAGGCTGCTGAGCGGGAAGGAATTGAAATATGCTCCCAATTTTCTCCCATTTTTCCTCATTCCCTATATGATGTTATATAAAGTTGTATAGAGTTATATACATAGTTATATAGACTTATAGAGCTATATATAGTTATATAGGGTTATATAAAATTGTATAGAGTTATATATATATAGTTGTATAGAGTTATAGAGTTATATAGAGTAATATAAGGTTATATATAGAACCATGGAATTTTCACAATCTCCGTTCCCATGCTAACTTCTAGTTTTGAGACCAGCTCTGAACTTCGTAAGTGATGGAGAAGTAGTGAGAGAAGGAGGTAGAGAGTTCCAGAGAGAAGGGCCATAAAAGAGAGATGTAGATTTAGCAAGAGAGTATTTAACACGAGTTAAGAAGAAGGTGGGTAGGTAGGTTTTACATAAATTAATTTTAAGTAGTTGGTCAATATTTGATTCTTTTACTTTACATAGAGATTAAAATATAGATATGCAACATGCACACATCCATCCATACACACACACACATACACACACACACACACACACATACAGACATACATGCACACAGACATACATGCAAACAAACATAGTTAAAAATCAAGGTTTAACGTTCGTATTGCAGTGCTAATGAACCTTATACAATGTCATTAATTCTTTTTATTTAAAAGCATAATATCATGTATTATATAAATATATATATTTATATGTGTGTGTGTGTGAGTGAGTGAGTGTGTGCGTGTGTGTGTGTGTGTGTGTGTATCTACACATATTAAATATTTATATGTATCTATATAACGCATCGCGGTTGCTATAGTTATTAAACAACAAATCTACTCTTCATACATACAAACATACATACATACAAGCATACATGCATACAAACATACATATTAATATATATATATATATATAAATATATATATATATATACGCCCATGCATACATACATATATATGTATATATATATATATATATAAACGCCCATACATACACACATACATACATTCATATATACTTGCATTTATACATACATACACATACACTCACATACACACACACACACATATATATATATATATATATATTTATATATATACATTTTTTCATTATATAAAAGCTGGTATTTCTAAGAAACGAGTACATATTGATGTACAAATGCCGAAAATTTTGTTCATGTTCTCTGTGCTAGATAGGATTATTTTGAAATGATATCTTTCTAGTTAATGAAACTCGGATGGTATATAAGTGTGAATAGTTAACTTCACCACTACTACTAACAACTTACTACTTCTTCGCCTGGTTTCAAGCGCGTTATTGTTTAGCAAAATCGAGTTAATTTTATAATAAATAAATAAATAATAGACAGACTAAATCACATTGCGGATTATTATATTATAGGTACAAATAAAATATTGTAACCATAATTATCTGTAACTATTGTGACGTCATCGCGTGTTTTTGAAGAAAAAAAACTATTTAAGAAAAAAGTGCCTGAAAAGATGAAGCCGAATAGAAAATTAGAAAATTTAAACATCCTCATTGCAAGCAACATGGAGAGGTTGGGGATAGATTTTTTTAACGATTTTCATTATTATTTGTTGTGTTTAATTTCAATCTGCATTGTATATATACTAGGTTTTTGATGTGTGGTTGTTCAACGTTTCAAAATTTCATCCATCCATCCATCCATCCATTCATTCATTCATTCATTCATTCATTCATTCATTCATTCATTCATTCATTCATTCATTCATTCATTCATTCATTCATTCATTCATTCATTCATTCATTCATTCATTCATTCCTTCGTTCATTCATTCGATCATCATGATAATGTTACACGGTATGATTGCATAAGCATGTGGTATAGGTATGGTGACCCCAAAGTAATAGGCATTTCTCTATATCTGCATACATTGCACGAACTTTGTTCTCGTAACAGTTAATATGTTTTTATTATGAATTTATGAAATTTTTGTTTAAAATTGTCGAAAAATGCGGAAAAACCTATAAAAATTCCGAGTTCATTAACACGTTACAGCCAGCTAAAAGCTATGCTGAGACAATATTTGCTCACCTCACACATATGCAGCCAAACACACTATATTTAATGCAAATTTATGAATTAATTCACTTTTATAATAATAAAATTATTAAATTATTGTTATTATAGTAAAAAATTAATAATTTCGCCTTTATAATTGCGTATTTTCTGAAATATTCGACATAAATTTCGAGATAAAACTTGAGATGTATTGCGCAACCTTTATATTGCGATGCAATTCTGCGAATCGATTTTTTGTGCATGTTTTTATTTATTTTTAATAAAAAATTGTTATTTGATAAATTTAAACTAAAAATTAGGATAAAAAAATAATTAAAAAGTCGGCATTTTGATTAAGTTTTTCAATCTTCCATTCAGATTATTTTTTTTTATTTCAATGCACTTTTAAAAATATTAATTTATTCTATCATAACTCTTAAACAAATATTTTTCACTAAATCATAGCTCTTTTGACCTTTAAAATGATTTGTTGACGCATTATTTGCGATAATTATTTGTAATAATAATTATTTATTGCTATAATTAAGCATAATTTATGGTTATTAGGCATAATTTATCATAATTATTGCTTTTGCAACATAAAATGAAGATTTTCAAATCATGGTTATTAATTTTTTAACTTTTTTTTATTTAAAATTTTAATATTAAATTTTAATCTATGGTTACTAATTAAATTTTTATTTTGTGTACGTTAGTGAAGTCGGCATTGACTTTAACCAGTTAAATAACAAAAAATAATGTAAAATAAAAATATTGCTACTCTCAATTTGTCAATTCAATTAGTGACACTAATTTTTTTTATTTAGCTAAGGTTGTTAGTGCAAGTGCTGGTAATAACAATTTATCTGCCATTTTTAAGCCTTTTAAAATTTAGAAAAAAGGTTATAAAACCACATTGCCTTCTTACAGCTTAAGTTTTTTCATTCCTTAATATGCTAATCTTGAAATAGATTTTTTGATATTGATGACAATTCAGATTTTAAATTTGAATAGCTGAAATAAAATATTTTTTTTAATTTTTTTATCTTTACAGAGACGAGTCATACGCTCATGACTTGAAAGATGTCCTGAAAACAGCTCACGAACAGGGCAGACTAACCTGCGGCATCTACGAATGTGGAAAAAGATTAGAAAAGTGAATTTCAATTTAAATTGTTTATTTCATTTATATTTAAATATTTAATATTTTAAAAATTTATGTCTAAATCTATTTGTGATGGTTAGTTTGAAGTTTATACAAATTACAATCTATTTTAAAGTTTTTTTATTCAAAATTTTGAAAAATTATAAAAAAAATTAACACATCCCTATTTTTATTTCCCAACCAATAGCAATCCAGATGACATAATGTTATGTATTCTACCGGTGTCTTCAAAGCAAGAAGACCCGACACTTCACATCCACCGAACACTAATTAGTGCGTTCTGTCTAGAGGAAGGCATCCATATTGTAAACGTGAGCAGTGCGGACAGTTTGAAAAATCTCTTCACCTCCAAATTTGGCTCCGTGAATTCAGATGGGGAGGACATTGTCTATGATGACGTCGTTGATGACGTCATTGGTGATGATGTAGTAGAGGGGAATGCTTGTTCCAATGCTGATAGTAAAGATTACAATTGTCTCCTGGTCGAGGTGGGTAAATTATTTTTATTATTTTTATTTATTTATAGTTTTACTGAATTTACTAAATTTTACTATAAGGATAAGGATTATTTCGTTTTTTGTACCTAAATTCAATTTTATTCAAATTCTTCATCCAGATACCGATTGAAAATCTATCCCAATCCGAGGAAAAGATCCTAAATCTATTGGACTACTATCAAGATGAATTCCCATTGGTCGACCTCGATTTTATCGGGTTGCGCTGCTGTTAGATGATTGGCTGCTGAAAATAGCACGTCTGAATACGTGAGTCATCGTTTCCCGATAGCCAGTTTCTGGTAAGTTGAGTGATTGATTCTTGGTTGATAAGATGAATGATTGGATGAATGATTGGATGAATGATTGCTTGGTTGATTGATTGATTGGATGAACGATTGCTTGGTTGACTGATCTATTTATAACCTTTTAAACGCATTTTGGATGTAAATTTGAGTGTTGCAAATTAAAAAATTTTTCAGGTTGTAACTGTTACAAAAAAGGGCACTTCTAACTTGTTGCAAAACCAACAACTGAAGCAACATAGCACCGACTGAATGCCGGGTCGACAGTTTCGCAGAGACACACAACTACAACAGCTACAACTTCAGTAGTACAACTGCTGCTACTGCTGCTGCTACTACTACTACTACTGCCGCAACGACAGCTAGTACTACTGCTACTACCTCTACAACAACTGAAGCTACTTTCACTACTACAACTGTTACTTCCACAAAGACTATTACTACTACTTTTCGTATAATAATAACAATAATTATACCAAAAGGAACTACTATTATTACCAACTATAATTATTATTAATTATAATTTTTATAAATATCTGACAGTGGCTAATTATGTACAATGCCAACAATCTCATTTCTTATCGTTCATCCAATGGTCATTTATCATCATCATTATTATCATCATTGCGGTTACAGAGTTATCAGTATTGTTATCATTAATTATAATATTATTATTGTCGTAATTATTATTATTATTAATATTATTTCTAATATTATTAATATTATTAATGTCGATTTATTTATTATTACGTTAATAAAATTGTAAATAAAATAAATAAAATAAAACTACTTGAATATTATTAACTCGTTGTGGTTTGACTCGTTTATCTTAGAAAAGAGCCCACTCAATAATAATAATAGTAATAATAAATCATAATAATAACAATAATAATAATAGTGACAATGAACATAGGTAGTGAACATGCGAACATACAGGCAGGCATACGTGCATGTACACACACAAACATACAATTACAAGCATAGTAACCCATTTAGACGAGTCTATAAAGTTCTAGAATTGATTTAACCTGACAAAGGAAGCTTGCAGCACAAATAATATGCACGCATATAAAATACAAACGACCATACATATCTTCATATGCATACATTCATACATACACATTCATATTTACATACATACATAAACAGACACATACATTCATACGTACATACATACACACACGTACATACATACATACATACGTACCATGCAATTTTCAGACCAACATTTTTAATGCAACGCTATTGCGAGAACCTTGCTGCTAAATGGCCTAGAATGTTGGTGCGAATTCTACTTTGTTTACATTTTCAACCTATTTATATACCCAGACGCACATAAACAAATAAATACACGCACGTACACACACACAAACAAACACACACACAAACACACACACACACATGCGGTCATTGCCATTTACTCCCCTAAGATATGAATGGCGAAGAATTCAAGATTCTTGTTCCGGGTAAGATTAAAAACATTATTGTTTACCATTATTAATATAGTTATTATTATTAAATTAAAATAAAAGATTAAAAGGACGAATTTAAAAGTTGTACACATTTGTGTGAACACTCGCTTGCATCGCGTTTCTCCATTTTGCCTGCTACCATGTCAACGCCCTACGTAAGTACATAGTGTGTGTACAGAGTGCACAAGAACTTGTTTGTGTGTATGTGTACTGTGATGTGTGTGTGTGTGTACTAAGGATATTAAGTACTCGTGCACTTATGTATGTGTGTGTGTGTAGTGATTTAAATATGTGTTAATGTACGCGTTTTCGAAGGCTGTATTAAGCGTATGAAGTATGCATGCATTTTTTTAATTATTATTATAAGAAAACTTGTATAGCGACTTTTATAGAACTACCCAAAGTCGCTATCCAACATAACCAAAAGAGAAATTTTGTCCTTTTAAGTGATCAAACAAAAACATAAATATTTCGGAAATAAACATAAAATAAAGATGCCATTAACCAAGAATCAATAAATAAGGTCCCATAACACAATTCAAACACTCACAAAGAGTGTGTATGTATGTGTAAGTATGTATGTATGTGTGTGTAAGTAAGTATGCATGTATGTATTAATGAATTAAGCGTAATAACGATTTCAACAGTTGCTTCAATTGTTGTACATTCAAGATCAACGAACGAATGAGTGAATGAATGAGTGAATGAATGAACGGGCTGGCAAATGAATGAACGAATAAAAAATAATTAACACCTATTTGATTATTTATTTATTAAATCTCAAATTTTTGAAAAAAAAAACAAAAACTAAAAAACAAAAATCCGGAAGGAACAGAAACAATTATATCTACCTATCTACAATGCGATAAATCAATAATAATAATAACAATAATAATAATAACAATAATAATAATAATAAGCAGTGGCGTTAAAAACTGTTACCACTATCATCATCGTCGTCCTCATCATCATCACGCCACCATTGTCATTGTCTTGAAATAATAAAAAAATGTAATATAAACAATAATTATCGTTGATGATAATAATAATAAAATTTATTATTATTATTGTTAATTATTATTATTGTTAATTATCTCGCGAGGGCAGTGATGAGCCCCGAGCAAGTTTCAAAGAATTCTAAAATTTGGTGAAGCCCTGTAGACGATTGGTCATCCACTTCCATCTCTTCCTCTGATTGGTCGGAAAATATTTGAATGGTGAAATGTGATAGGTTGATCTTTATGAATGGTGAATTGTGATAGGTCGATCTTTATGATAGTAAACTGTAATTGGATGGGATATTTTTTATATGGAGAACAGCAAACGATTGACTTTTTAAATAGTGATTGGTTTATAAGTTTTGAATGGTTATACTAGCCAATCATAAATCAATCAACCAGCTAGTCAGCCAACCAGCCAGCCACCAACCAACCAACCAACCAACCAACCAACCAACCAACCAACCAACCAACCAACCAACCAACCAACCAACCAACCAACCAACCAACCAACCAACCAACCAACCAACCAACCAACCAACCAACCAACCAACCAACCAACCAACCAACCAACCAACCAACCAACCAACCAACCAACCAACCAACTAACCAGCCAACCAACAAACCAACGAACGAACGAACCAACCAGCCAACGAACGAACGAACGAACGAACCAACCAACCAACCAACCGGCAACTTCGGAAGCAGCTCTAGTCATTTTTTTGACCCTAAGTGCATCGGGGTGTTCGGATGTGTGGAGGTTTTTAAAGTCCAGAAGGTAACTTTTGCCGTCAACTTGATAGAGCTGGAGACCCATTTTTACCTTTGGTTGATTGATTGATTGGTTGATTGATTGATAGATAGATAGATTGAATAAATGAATTATTGACTATCTGGTTGGTTGAATGGGTGTTTGAAATATAAGTTATGAACAATTAAATACCTAGGCTACAAGCTTTTATCATTCATTCGCTCAATCATTTGCTCTTTGGCTCATTCATTTACTCTAAATTTAATTTCTATCTTTTTCTCTTTCCCTCTTTTTCTCAATCAATCAATCAATCAATCAATCAATCAATCAATCAATCAATCAATCAATCAATCAATCAATCGATCAGTCAATCAATCAATCGATCAGTCAATCGGCTAACATATTTCCCAGTAACTGGATTCTTTCTTCTGACAATGACATGAAAATTAGTTATCACTTTCCATTCCTAATAAGAACAACAACAATAATGATAATAATAATGACGATAATAACAATAACAATCAAGTCTTCATCGCCAACATCATCATCAGCATCATTAACAGCAGCAGCAGCAACAGCAGCAGCAGTATAACTTACGTAACCGAGGGTTTTCATTGCTTTAAATACTTCGTGCATTATGTCCAATGGCTTGCTCTGTGATCTTATACCTGTCAATGAATGAGGGAATGAATGAATAAGTGAATAAATGAATGAATGAACAAAAGAACGAAAAGCAAATGAAAGAGTAATAATTGATTGACTGAAGAAAAAAGAAACATGCAAATTGAATAAATGAACAAAAGATTGAAAAAATAAGCGAATGAATGAATGAATGAACGAGTGAAGAAACGAATTAAACAAATAACCTAGATGCCATTTAGATTTTCTTATGGGCGGGGCTTTGGTATCAGCTGGCAGTGACGGGATTGGATCGAGGGCTACAGTGGCATTCAACTCTAAGCAAGTGATTGGCGAGTCGATAGACTCATGAATATTAATAAGCAATATAAAATGGTGGCGAAAATTTTAAAATTTGCACAAATTCCCCATCACATTAGCAACGACAATATTAACAACAACAACAACAATATCAACAACAACAACGACAAACTATAAAAATAACAGGAAGTAAAACCCCAATTCCTGACTTGGCATCCTTTCAGGGTGATGATGGGTCGTGGTGGGGGTCGTTGGAGACATGGGGGTGCTTGTGCCCTCGTTCTGCTGCTAGGCCCGCCAAAAAACAAAATAACAACACGACAGTAATTTCATTCATACAGGGCCAGGAACACTTTGAAAAACAATTCCCTAAAACAGACGTATGCATCATATGGATGTCAAATTGCATGTGAAATTTCTCAAAAATTCAAACCCAATCAGTGCCACCCGAGAGCCACCACCACCACCACCCCCACAATCACCACCACCATCATCATCCACATCACCATTTTAACCATCATGAAAGATTCAACGGGTGGACTGGAGGCCACGAAGAAATCTAGGATCTGCAACTTCTCCGTCTCGTCTGCGATCCTCTTATTATCCATGATGAGGTTGTAGGCTATGACCAGCTGGTCCTGCTGGTCCCCGCTCAACAGTGCACTGTGCACGTCGGCCTCACTCACGTGACACTTCTGTAGGTGTCACGTGATCGTAACGATTATAATAATCAAAGATGGTTGGCGGGAGAGAGAGAGAGAAAGAAAGAGAGAGAGAGAGAGAGAGAGAGAGAGAGAGAGAGAGAGAGAGAGAGATGACAACACCACCAACAAAAATACATTTCGGACAAAAAATATCAGAGATAAAAAAAATTATAAAATCCCGTACAGAAACCACCCCCACCCCCATATAAAACAACAACACCCCCTAAAGAGGGCCAGCCCTGCTCACGACTGACCTCGCAAACCTCCTGAATAACTTCAGTATCAATGATGGAAGCATCCACATCGGAGCCAGTCGGGAAGAGGTAGGCAGGCAACTGCTGCTTGAACCACTCATGCTCCCTGATCTCGCGAATGCAGGCCCTCTGAATCGGGTCCACGACCAGCATCTTCGAAATCAGATTGGCTACCGATTTGTTCACGTGATCGGGGGTGTAGTAATGGCCAGCTGTGATTGGTTGGGGGCGTGAAATTAGGTTACAAGCCAACAGGCAGACAAATAAATATAAAAAGCACACACACACACACACACATCACTAACATTTAATCTTTCTAAACAAGGAAGGCACGTGTTCATCATCGAACGGTAACTAATGAATAATAAAAATAATAACTAGAATACCAAATAATAATAATAATAATAACGACACTTTAAAAAAAAACCACAAACTGTTCCACAGAGAAGTGCGAATAGTATGACACCACAACTCCAGATGTCAACCTCAGGCCCAGCATACAATCTGTGAATGGATGATTGAATGGATGAATGAATGTATGGACAGATAGACTGAATATATATATATATATATACTGAATGAATGAATGAACAAATGAATGAATAAATGAGTTTTTCATTTGTGGGATCGCATATAATCTGCAAATGTATTAATGATAGGTAAACAAACGAATCAAGGTATGAATGAATGAATGAAAGTGTAAATGAATGAATGAGCCACAACAACAGCAACAACAACAGCAACAACAACACAAACTTTCCAGAAATGACTTCTGGTGCAGCGTAATTCGGACTACCGCAACTTGTCTTCAAGAACTCTCCATCCATCATCATGTTTGACAGGCCTCGTGTAATTGGTTAATTAGATGATAAGAGTTCGTGCATAGGTTAATAGCGAGGCAAAAGCATAATCTAGGTTCAGCGCTTTAACATGCTGTCCTCACAGTGAAACACAACAAAGTGTTTTTAGATTCTTATTTTTGAGTCAATGAATCAAGCCAAATGTAAGAATAAAACACATTGTCGTCGTCATATCATTTCAGATATTCTAACACTACCGATTTGTACAGCAATAAAAGAAATTAAAACCAAAGGCTTTTCAGACGATAACTAGCCGTTATAACGAACCATTTAATATATTTGAACGAATTTTTGCTAATTATAAATTTAATATATGTTACAAAATAAAACCGTTAATATATGAGAGCTACGGATAAAATAGTACATGTAATGTAACATGGGTATAACACGTTACAATAGTGAAGATATCTTCTGACACGTTTCGTTGCATCTTTGAAGAAATCAATTTCAAACATAAAACTCAAACAAAGGCATGTAGTTTACAACAAATTGCTCGAAGTAAAATATTTTTAAAGCGTTCTTACAGACAATCTTTGAGAGAAAGGAACGCACAAAACCATCCATCTATACTTAATTCAACTTCAAAACCGCCCATCGTTTCGAGTTCTTCGAATTCTCAGAACATACAAATTACACAAAATAGATTACAAACGCATCTACAGCATTATTATTTTAATAAATTTATTTATCATTTTTATTCTATTATTTATCAATTTGCTTGCTCTGTAATACTCTCAGTTAAGCTTTGGCTTCTCATACCACTCCTTTTGAATAATTTATGAAGAGTTTGTCTCTGTAGGGTAGAGAGAAAGAGAGAGAAAGAGGGAGAGAAAGAGAGCCTACAGTTGATTCATATTGATGTTGTTGTGATTATTAATGTTTCGGCTGATGTTATTGTTGTGTCTCTATGTGGTTGAAAGTTATTAATGATTGTTTGGTTGATGTTTTTTTGTTGTTGTTTTGCAATCATGTCATCTGTTTTGTATGTGGCTGTTAGTTTTGTTGTTTCGTTTTTTCACTTTTGATGTTTTTTTATCTTGTGGACTTTTTTCTTTGTTTTTTTTCAAGGTTTTTTAAGGCGTAAGAAGTCTTATTTGTAAGAAAATTTATAAGACAACTTGACAATGAATTCCGCAAATAGTTAAACTAAAACACTGAAATCCACTCCCATCTTTGTAAGAGAGAGAGAGAGAGAGAGAGAGAGAGAGAGAGAGAGAGAGAGAGAGAGAGAGAGAGAGAGAGAGAGAGAAAGAAAAAGAAGAGAGAGAGAGAGAGGAGGAGAAGATAAAGACTGCTAATATATATAGACCTCGTCTTGGCAACAGGGCAACAGCAGAACCAAACGCTTCAACCATTACACCATTTAAATCTGTTCTGCCATAATTAAAAAACAACGTAAGCAAACAACCAACCAACCAACCAACCAACCAACCAACCAGCCAACCGACCAACCAAAATCAGCGATTTTAACATTCAGTTGCTTATCAAGCAGTAAGTTTTCAGGCTTCAAATCTCTGTGGACTATCATGTGACGATGGCAGTAGTCCACTCCAGATATTATCTGCTGGAAAAACCTTCTTGCCTCATGCTCTTTTAGCTAAAATTAGATAAATTAGGAGGGTTAGGAGGGGCCCAAGATGATGATGATGTGGAAGGTGGTGGTTAGGATGATAATGATGATAAGATGGATGATGATGTTGATAAAGATGACGAAAAATTATAATAGCAATAATATATACAAAAACCAACCAACCAGCCAGCCAGCCAACCAACTAACCAACCTTCCCATGCTTTACAATGTATTCAAAGAGTTCTCCACCGCCCACATATTCCATAACCATGAATATGTCAGATGGAGTACTAATAACTTGGTACCTATAATTATTAACAATAATAATGGTAATAATAACAATAATTATTATTATATTGTATTAAATATAATAATAACAATAATAATGAACAATTTAATCAAATTGAAAATGTATAATTATAATGATATTCCCATAGTTTTGTATATAAGTGATTTAACAACAAACTCAACATTATCACCACACCACCGTCATCATCACCACCTACTTACAATTTAATTATATGTGGGTGCCTGAAGAGCTTTAAATTTTGGATCTCCCTTCTTATCTTGCCCACCACATCCAGGCTCTTTATCTTCTGCCTATTCATGACCTTGATTGCGACCTTGTGGCCGGTCAGCTGATGAATACCGACTTAACAGATGTTTTAAAAAATGGTCATAAATGTGATGATAGCTATCAATGATAAAAAAATCACAATGAGATCAATTTTTTTCATATTTTTTTTAAAGCCAAGGTAACTCAAATGAATATATTTTTTCAATGGCTATTTTATATTTTAACTTTGGATTTGAAAAAATTTAGTCTGAGTAAGATAGAAATAGTTAGATCAACATCAAATTAATTATAAAATGACGTAATTATATTAGGAAATAATTAAAAAGTTAATCAAAGTGCAGTCTTTTTTTTGTTTCAAAGACACTCAAAGAGACAAAACTGTGAAAATAATCAATTAAAATAAACAGCCTAAATTCTAAAAAAAGCAAACAAACGAAATTAGAAAATAAGTAAAAAATAGGGACTAGAAATCACTAATGCCTAAATAACTCTGAAAATAAAACTCTTAAAAAACTAGAAAAATGACAAAAAAGCAGCATCTCCATCAGCAGTAGAGAGTAGACAGACAGCAAGTAGACACAAAAAACACTTATAGAACACACTAACAACTACTAACTTTTAACTTTTCCAAAAGTTCCTGATCCAAGAGTTTCCCCCAGAATATAATTTGCAATCTTAACTTGAGGACCAGGCGAATTTAATGAAGAAATCATCGGATTTGGGTTAATTTTTTCGGACGCCATTTTTGCTTTCGGTATGTTTTTCAACAAACGATAGAAATGTGCAAATCACTTTTTTTATTTAAAAGTTTGATGATTTATTATTAATAAAATAAACTTGAATGTTTTAAAATAAAATAAAATTAATTTTTATACTTAGATATTTTTAAATTTAATATTTGAATATATACTGAAAAAATTGTTTGAAAGTTCCTAATTTAAATAAAAAAATGGCTCTCCATAAACTACATATGGTTGATTATATAAAAGGAGAGTTATGTAATGATAAAATTAATTTTTCTCAAATAGATCGGTAACTGTTTAGGTTTTTAAAATTTTACACTAATTTTAGGCGAATTTCACGATTAAATTTTTAAAATTAATATTTATAATTGTTGATTTTGCGAATTGAGGAGTTAATTTAATTTTGCAACTGCGCAATAGGTGGTTTTTATAATTTAAAAAAAAAATAGCAAAATTTCCACATTAAAAATTTAAAATTTTAATTTAAAATTATAAATGTTATTAAAGTTAAATTGTTTATTGAATGCTAAGAAACTGTAAATACTTTTATAATAATTTGAAAAAATTAGGTAATTATAATTTGTCACCAGCAGAATAACTTCTGTGTTCTGTGAACATGTGAAACCTATGAGATGAGAGCAACAATTTTATTAATTAATTAAATTAATTTTTAAAATAATAATTTTAAAATAATAAAAAATAAATTAAATTAAAAAAAAAAAAGTTTTAAATTTGTTTGAGTAGCAATAACATAATGACAAATCATTAACTTTTCACTAACGACTAAAGTCTGAAATTTTTACAACAACCGACTGGCCAACCTATAATCAATTATACTGCCAACAAATCAGTCAACTCACTTAACTTTTACTTATTTACATTACTTACAAGCTAGGACTTCTGATGGATTGGATTAAAAGGTATCAATTGAAAAATAAATGAATAAATTTTGATGACACTTTTAATTTTTAATTAAATTAACTAACTAACTGATCAATTTATAAATAATTATAAATATCTTTGGTTTTTAATTCAATTTTAAATAAATTTTTGTATACAAAGACACATGTGGCGTAAGGTCACAATAGTGCTAGAGCTAAATAATACGTTGTGATATAAAAAATTTCCTAATTTTGAATTTCCTAACTAACCCAGCAGCATATCAAAGCGTAAAGATAGAGATTCAATTCCATCCCCGACTGAGTCTACTTTATTTAAATTCTCATTAGCCGATGAGCTAGCCAATGAGCGTCTGACAGACATCGATTTTTCAGTTTTGGTCTCACTACCGAATGGCATTGATATTAATGAATGGTTGGCCTCACACAGTAAGTGGTGATGGTTGGTTAGTTGGTTGGTTGATTGGTTGGCTAATTAGTTGATTGATTATGTAGTTAGTTGGTTAATTAGATGGTTAGTTGATTGGTGAATTGATCGTTTATATCATTATCTTAACCGTCTTCTCTATCATCATCATTCTTAATTTAACTCAAAACAGGCGCAAATTTTGTTTTTAATTTGCAATTTCAACACTAATTAGAAGGACACATTGTAGTGATTATGATGTTGATTATGATGTTTATTTATTCTTCTTTATTCATTCATTTATTCATTCATTCATGCATTCATTCATGCATTCATTCATTCATGCATTCATTCATGCCTTCGTTCATTCATTCATGCATTCATTCATGCCTTCGTTCATTCATTCATGCATTCATTCATTCATTCGTTCATGCATTCATTCATGCATTCATTCATTCATTCATGCATTCGTTCATTCATTCATTCGTTCATGTTGTTGTTATTATAAGACACACTACTATTTCATTATATTTTTTCATGCATGTATATATTTTTTTATTTTATTTTGTAAGTAAACAGCCATTGTTATTGTTACTACTACTAATACTAATACTATTACTACAACTGCTACTGCTACTCCTGCTGCTACTACTACTACCACTACTGCTATTATTTTCAGTACTTAATATGTTTCCAGCATTATCATTAGTTCATTGAATGTTATTTAGTTAATAATTTTTCAACTTATCCATTGGATAACTGACACTCCTTGCACATGCAAACTCTCCCAACTCATCAGCCAGCTGTGTCATACTTTAATTTATTCATAAACAAACTTTAACCTCACCCACATAATCAGCTGTGTCATTTTTTGAGCACGTCAATCAGCTGTTCAGCTGTTTGGCCGAATCCTGCAGGGCTAGCTGTGCTCAGAACAGCTCAATGTTAGTAGCTGTGATGGCGATGATGATGATGATGCTGTTTATGATGATGATGACGCTAATGATGATGATGATGATGATGATTATTATTATGTCAGTTCTTATCAATGGGTGGATGAAAAAGGTAAAAAAACGAAGTACAATGCGCCACAGTTTGTCGACCTTCTACTCAGTTCCATACAGAAATATGTTGAAGATGAAACCATTTTTCCAACAAAATACGGTTGGTTAATTGGTTGACTGATTGACTGGCTGGTTGATTGGTTGGTTGTTTGAATGGTTGATTGATATATTGATTGGCTGATTGGCTTTTTAATTTTTGAGTTGGTTGATTAATTGTCATTCATTCATTCATTCATTCATTCATTCAATCATTCAATCATGCAATCCATTTCATTTGAAAGTATGCAGGCAAATACATGTTATCATTATTATTTTTATTACTACTTACTACGACTTATACTACTGCCGCTACTACTACTACTACCACTACTACTGTTACTACTATTACTACTACTGCTTTTTCTTTTACTATTACTACTACTGCTTCTTCTACTACTACAACTACAACTGAATATTTACACAGCAATGAAAATAGGTTGGCATTTGATTTGATTGATTAAAATTTTATACCAGGGTTCCTATTATTTACCATCAACACACTCACACACACACACGCGCGCGCGCGCGCACACACGCACACATTATCATCGACATCATCATCATCATCATCACAATCAATCATCATCATTATCATGATGACCAGGAAATAAATTTCCCCAAACGTTTGAGGCGATCATCCGCAAGGTACACTGCAGACTACAGCAGATCATCAATCACATCTACCAGTACCACATGAAGTCCGTGATGCAGTTGCAGTTAACTGTTGGTTGGGGATTGTTTGGCTGGTTGGGGATTGGTTGGTTGGTTGGTTAGGTTGAGGATTGGTTGGTTGAGTGATTGATTGATTGGCTGGGTGGTTGAATGAATTGATTGATTGAATGATTGATATGCCGTCTGCAAATACTCAACTTTTCAACCTTTCAGTCATTTAACAAGTCTTCAAGTAATCATTTAATTAATTGATTACTCAATCAATCAATTAGTCAATCAGTCAATCAATCACACATTTTCCCACAGGCCTGCTTAAACACAACCCTCCTACACTTCCGCCAATTCAACGACAACTTCCATCTTCTGACGTCATCATCTACGTCGTCGTCGTCGTCCGACAACAACAACATCATCATTCAGAAGGAATTAGATCTCCTGGAGCCCTTCTACCAGCGACTAAAACTACTATCTCTACAACAGAGGCAGTTGAAGCAACAGCAACAGCATCACCAACAGCAGCAGTACGTGACGTCATTCTCATCGCCTTCGACGCCTATGTCATCGTCATCGTCACCATTTCAAAACTCGTCGTCGCTTCAGTTCTTACCGCAGAGGAGTAGCTACACTAATTTCACTAATCTAGGAAATAGCGACTGCTCGCCGGGTTCTTCATCTCTACCTAAACAGCAGCAGCAGCAGCATCAAAAACAGCTGCCGGCCAAAAAAAGAATCTTTATGTCCCAGTCAATCAATAAGAATAATAATAATATCACTAATAATGACAACAACAACAATAATAATAAAAATATAAATATTATAGGTAGTAGTGCTAGCGTTAGTTGTAGCAGTAATGGCAGCATTTCTACCAGTAGCAAAATATGTAATAGCAATAATAATAATAATAATAATATAAATAATAATAATAATAATAATATAAATAATAATAATTGTGATAGTAGTAATGGTAATTGTCTGACATTGTATGTTGCATCTTAAATAATAGTAATTATGATGATGATAACAATAATTTTTTTTTTCGAAATTTAATTCTTTTTCATCTTGTCAAATTTAATTCTTTGGTGAATTTATAATGATGATAATAATAATAATGATTGTTATTATTATTATTGTTGTTATTTTTATTGTTTTTTTTTTACAGTTTATTCCCAGCACTAATAATCTGAGTTATATTGTTTTATATACATTTATATGTATGTGTGTGTATGTGTGTGTGTGTGTGTGTGTGTGTGTGTGTGTGTGTGTGTGTGTGTGTGTGTGTGTGTGTGTATTTTTAAAATGCATTTCAATTTATTTTTTAACATTGCCAATTTGTTTTATCATATGCTACAAGAATCATGGGCTCGAAAAATTCCTTTATCATATTTTCTCTCTCTCTCTCTCTCCGTACACTTTTCTTATTTTGTATTTTTATTTCTCTCTTTCTCTCTCTCTCTTCCCTCTCTTTCGTTTTCAGTAGCATACTCTTCAATTAATGTAAGGCGTGATGCGTTAATGATACTATTAAGCTTTTTACTCCTCTCTTTTCTCTCTTTCTTTCTTATTTATCTTTCCTTTTTCTCTTTATTTCTCTCTCTCTCTCTCTCTCTCTCTCTCTCAATTTTATCCATTCAATCATCTATTCAACTTTGTAGATATTTTGTAAAGACACAGACAGGCGTTAGACTGCGCTGTAGACAATTTTTTGCTAACAACAACAACATCAATATCATTTTTGTATTTTTGCAGAAGTAATAATAATGATAATAATAATAAGAATAATAATAATATTATCATTGCCGTTGTTGTTGCTGTAATTATTATTAGTTATTATGTTTGTTGTTATTTTTGTTGTTTTCGTTTTCCTTTTTCTTACCATTCTTTCATCGTTCATCAGCTATGATAAGTCTATGTTACTGACTAGGAGCTTTACACACATACACACGCACACACAACACATACACGTACACAGACAAACACACGCACACACAACACACACATACGCACACACACTAGAATTCTAGTACGGAAAATTGAAAAGGCAAACTTCTTTAAATTGATTAATGCCAACAATTCGGTAGAATTCATACAATACTCTATAAAATATGGTCTTCCAACACATACACACACACATATATATATATTATTATCTCTATTACACTGATGATGGTAAATGTTACCGGAAAAAGCTTTCATGCTACTACCTTTGCGACAACTAACTCTACTACTACAACTAGTAAACTCTTTTCCTATAAAACCAATGGCAATATCTTCTTAAAACAATAGTAATAATTTTCATCTAGATATTTTGTTAGCATTCACTATGATAATTGCGTCGTCCCTAATTGTAGCTACATTACACGTTCTCAATATAGATCTTCGTTATCGCGTTGTATCATAATCATGCCTATGTTAAAATATCAACAATTATGTTTGTATATATATATATATATATATGTTAAAATATCAACAATTATGTTTGTATATATATATATATATATATATATATAAAGACTCTATATATACACATAGACACCCACATACACACACACGCATACATACGAATACACACACACACACACACACACACACACACGCAATTCCTAGCTTACCAAACATTAAAAACCGTTTTTTTCGGGTATGGGCCAAAAAAACTGCAACAAGAGTTATAAAACTGGTTAATATTATTACTAATTATTATCATTTATCGTTAATACCAACCATATAAATAATTTCATTAAAAAAATGAGCGAACCAGTGAATAGTAGTGCTAGCCATGTATGTCAATGCTTTATAAAATACGTATATGGAATTCACTTTCCTTAAATTCAACTCAACAACTGCCTTTCTCTCTCTCTCTCTCTCTCTATATATATATATATATGTGTGTGTGTATGTATGTATTCATATCCCTCACGTGATCTTTGCGTTCGAAAAAGATCAGATATATTTATTGTTTGAATGATTTGATTACCGTTGAATCTTTCATTTTATAGTACATTAGGCCGGTGGTTTATAACTATATATAAATATCTACATATGTATATTATATAGTACACACACACACAAAAAGATAGAGATATATATTATATATATATAATTTTTCTTAGGCTCTTATTACATTCAATCCATCTGTAATTATTTCTTGTAACCGATGAAAATTTCTCTCTAAAACTGGGAAGGTGTTGTTGTCCTTAGTTGATATTTCCATTACCATTTGCTATTAAGTTGAGAAAATGAAGTAATAAATATAAGAAGGAGTTTATTTCTGTTATTATTAACTACTGAATGAATAATTAGCATATCCTGCTCTAAAATAATATTTAATAATAATTATTATAAAAGTAATAACAATAATGATACAGCCAAAAATATCAGGAACATTAACGTTTCAAGCAAAAAATGTTGTGTATGTGAGATTGCTATTATTAGCTGCGAGTTTACAACATCCCGAAATGTATGTATGTGTATATGCATTTATTATTACGCTCGAGTGTATGTATGTACGTATGTTATTCTTGGCAACTGAAATTTTCCATTGCCTGAAGTGTTTTAACCACATAAAAGAAAGAAGTTTAGGAATATTAACAAACGAGAATAACAATAATAATTATTTTATTATTAAATCATTACGAATTTAGAATCAAATATTTAATATATCAATCATTAAATAATAAGAATAATAATATATAAGAACAATGACGGTAGAAATAATAATAATATTTATAAATATCAGCTGATTTTAACAAGAAATGCAATTAAATAGTGCTGTATAACATTACTATTTTTATTGGTAGTAGTAGTATTAGCAGCTGTAGTAATAGTAGTAGTAGTAGCTGTAGTAATAGTAGTAGTAGTAGCTGTAGTAATAGTAATAGTAGTAGTAGCAGTGGTGGTAGTATTACCATTTATCAACAGATTTAATTAAAATATAAGAAAATTAAATTAAAATGATCTACCAAACCAAATTACAGTAATTATGATGATCAAAAGGTATAATAGGCATAATAATAATAATAATGATTCGTCTTCCTGTCTCTCTCTTTTCTCTCTCTCTCTCTCTTATTCTCTCTTGTTTACGATGACACCAGGACATAGATCATACTGTCAAATTGAAGAAAAAATTTGATTGAAAAAGTGATAAAATTGAATTATTATTATTATTATTATCATTATAAATTATTAGTTATTATAAAAAACATACAAAAAAAAGACAAAAAACAAATAATTAAAAAAACGGATTACCTATAGAGGTAATAGAAGAAGGTAATAATGTAGAAAGCCAATTTGATCCAGCCTTCACGATTTCCTCGACTGAGTTCGTCTGCATTCATGATCGTGGTGGGGTCATACAGACCAGGGCAGGACATAACTGGTCTGTTCATGTACCTATGGTGTTTTTTTGAATAATATATCTATGGTGCTTTTTAAAAAGCACCAACGTTCACACACATAGCACAAACCTCTCACTCATAGCTATAATTAAATAATAATTATTGTCTATTATAATTAATAAAATAATTAATTCATATATTTTCAAATGAATAATAATTTACAGAAACCTATGGATATGATAGAAAAGTAGTGGCAGATTGAGTACCACTGTGATCCACTCGAAGGTGATGATGAAAAGCAAGACAAAAAATGCATGTAGGCCGTACTCTGGCAGAACTAACTATAATTATGATATTGTGAAATTATCTTTTAATTTTATAAACAAATTATTTCATGTATGTATACATCTATGTTATATATATGGTATGTCTATGTATAAATAAAGACTTTTAAAAACCTGACATTGCTAATGAAATGAAGTATGTATGATGAAACTAGATACTAGAATCTTTCAAATGTTAGTGAAGCTTAACCCAACAATGTGTTGTTCATAATTAACAATTATTTTAAATTAAAAAATTTAATTATTTAATATCTTTGATCGAAGAAGCAGAACACTTGGGTAAAAATTCACTGGAGAAAAAAAAATTACCGGATTTAGACTTCTGCACTGATCAATGGGGTTCTTATAGTCAGTCTTTAACTCATCAAAAGCAATGATCTGTTGACAGGTGAACAAAAATTCATTATATATCATTAATAACATTAAAAAACTAAATACTTCTAAACTTAATTAAGTTTTAGTAAATAAATATTTAGTATTAAAATGGCGAAAATAATTTAATAATCAATTTTTAAAATATACGAACTGTTGACAATGAAATAATTAACAGACGTAAATCTTTCTTACTTGGTAAATCACGAAAAATATCAAAATAGCAGTAAAAATTAAAGCAATTATGTAGCAAAATGCAACGAAAGAAAACGCCATCTTGGTTTTGCCGGATGCGGCAAATTCAGTTTAAATTTCAAAAGTTAGAAAAGAAAAAATAATGTTAATCGAAATGAATGATTAAAATTTATTTTCTAAAATACAGTTTTTGACATTAATCTCGTTTAAAATGGCCAATTCACGTAACAAATACGTAAGTTACTTCATCTCAGTTGCAAAACTTAAACGAGATCAGATTGATGTTACGTGTTTATAGAGGATTATATGATGAAAATTCTTTAAAAGGTACTTTTTAAACTATTTAAAGGCCATGCTGTGAAACCATGAAATATTGCATTAAAACGTCTTATTTTAACACAATTTACTAGTTTATGCAAAGATTATATACACATACAAAGCATAAATGTACACAAAAACACCTTTCAAAAATGTAACACCGTCTAACAGATAGAGAGGAAGAAAAAAGGAGAAATAAAAAAGAGATAAAAAGAAAAAAAAGAGAAGAAGGGAAATAGAGAAAAATAGCGCACACACAAACGGCAATAATGAAGCGCTGTTAACATCTAACGCACATCTCTGGACGCCCCTACCCTCCTCTGAGAGGACATTAACCAATAGAAAGTGACACCAAACAGCTGGAAAATATGGAAATAAACACGGCATTGACGATAATAGGTGAAATTGAGCAACATGCATTATTGAGTAGTAAGGTCTGTGTGTAATAAAGTTTGATGATGATGATGTTGTTGTTGTTGTTGATGATGATGATGAGGAGGATGTTGTTGACGATGATGATGATGTTGTTGATGATGATGTTGTTGTTGTTGTTGATGATGACGTTGTTGATGATGTTGTTGATGTTGTTGTTGTTGATGATGATGATGTTGTTGTTGATGAATGATGTAGACCAAACGACATAGAATGGAAAGATGCAAGTAAGTACTGCTAGTTACTTCAAGACGATCATTATCATAATCACCACCACCATCATCATCATCATCATCATCACCATCATCATCATCACCATCATCGTCACCGTCATCATCCATCAATTTAAAACAGTTGAGAGCTTTTTTAAATTGAATTAAGAATTAATGTGCAATGATGCGAACATACATACATACATACATACATACATACATACATACATACATACATACATACATACATACATACATACATACATACATACATGCATACATGCATACATACATACATACATACATACATGCATACATACATACATACATACATACATACATACATACATACATACATACATACATACATACATACATACATGCATACATACATACATGCATACATACATACATACATACATACATACATACATGCATGCATGCATACATACATACATACATACATACATACATACATACATACATACATACATGCATGCATGCATGCATGCATACATACATACATACATACATACATACATACATACATACAGACATACAACGTGTTTAAATACGGTTAAATGCATCCTAAGCCCATTCCACAGTAGCTGGATATTGTTGTACACATGAAGGCAATTTCAATTTTTTTTTTGCAATTGTGATGATGACTTCAAAAATGATGATGATGGTAATGATGATGATGAGGTAATGATGGTGATGATGATGGGGTAGTGATGGTGATGATGAGGATTAATCGAATCAAATCGAATCGAATGATGATGATGATGATGATGTTGAAGACACCATGGAATCTAACATCTGTTTTTATCATATGTGTTATATCCAATCAGCCAATCAATCAACCAATAATTTAATTATTTTTTAAATACGTTATAATTATCATTACCATTGTAGTTATGGTAAATAATTACAATTATATAATTAATATAATTACTTTCCTTGCAGGGTTGAACCATAATTAGAATAATAATAATAATTGGGGCCAAAACAACATTTTTTAAAATTACAACAAAGCAATAACAACTACAATCACGACTATAACAATATCAACAACAAAACTACTATTATCATTACTATTGTAGTTATGGTAAATAATTATAACTATATAATTAATATAATTACTTTCTTTGCAGGGTTGAACCATAATTAGAATAATAATAATAATTGGGGCCAAAACAACATTTTTTTAAATTACAACAAAGCAATAACAACTACAATCACGACTATAACAATATCAACAACAAAACTACTACTACTGCTGCTGCTGCTACTACTACTACTACTACTACTACTACTACTACTACTACTACTACTACTAATAATAATAATAATAATAATAATAATAATAAATAAATAATAATAAACTTAATGGGTATGGATTAAAAAGCAATAGAATAAAGCGGAAGTGGATGGTTTTAATTAGATTTGACAGGTTACTTATTCATTCATTCGTTCGTTCGTTTGTTCGTTCGTTCATTCGTTCGTTCCTTTGTTCGTTCGTTCGTTCATTCATGCTATAGTTTATTCTTCCGTTCGTTCCTTTTGGCCATTTATTTGTTTGTTTGTAAATTTATTTAACTGTTCATCCATTAATTTCGTCATTTGTTTATTCTTTTATTCATTCATTTATTTATTTGCCTGCTCATTCACTCATTCGTTCATTCATTTATTCAGTCAAGCGTTCTTTCATTCAATTTAATAATCACAAAATGATTTAAACTCACTGCAGGCCATTTTTTTCAATAATTTCTTCTTTCGTTCATACACAAAAATCTCCTCTTGAAACATTATTTACGATCAAAATATTAATAAACGCGCGCTGTATTGTGATTCTCTTTTCTTATATTTGTTCTTTTTTTTCTCTGCTTTTACTTCCGGCCATTGCCGGAAGTTGTGGATGACGTGATAGTCACGTTTTACTTCTCTATGTAGAGTCTTTTGGTCTCCATTTTTATTTTTTTATTCTTCATCACTATAATTATTTTAATTTTTAATAATAATAATAATATTAATAATATATTTATAATAATAATAATTGTTATTATTATTATATACTTAATTATAATTATCATTATAGGAACGGGGACAATGGCGAAACTCAAGCAGAGAATATCATTATCATCATCGTCGTCGTCGTTATCATTATCATCACCACAACCATCATCATCATTACTATCACCATCACCATCTTCATCATTACTACCATCACCATCATTAACATCACCATCATTATCATCATTACCATCACCATCATCATCATTACCACCATCATCATTATCATTACCACCACCACCATCACCATCAT